TATCTCCCTGAGCTTGGCCTTCATAATTCCATTCCATCACAAGTTCATCTATATGAGAGATGGAAACGTTTGGCTCCGTCTACCTGAATGTCTAAGTCCCAGACCCCCTGCTTAAGTTCCACCAGGGTTTCTTCTAGGCCTAAAGCAAGTAAGGCTGGTATTGATAGTCCACACTGTCCCAGATCTTGGTCTTTTCAGAGTAGATGGGTGTACCCATGAAGTTCCCCAATGATTTGCTTTGCCCAGAATCTTAGCCGAAGTCATCTCGCCCGGTCCTTGCATGTGATGCAGCCTAGCTCTAATCTGGGGGTGGCGTTAGGAGTTGAGTAACGAATACAGCCAGATAGTCACGGGTCACAGATGCTTTATTTTGCATTCTTCCCCTGAGAGGGGGTTGGTCTGGATGTCCTCAAGGACCCCTTCCACGTTTTGGTCGTATGATTTCCAAAGCTGTCCTTACTCCGTTTTTTCTGGTTTTCTCGTGGATCGAAAATTAAAATTCAGGGAGGCTCAGTAAAATGACATTTTCCTTTCATTGGCAGGACTTTGCAAACACCATTCCAGGGCACGGCGGCATCATGGATCGATTTGACTGTCAATACTTGATGGCTACCTTTGTAAATGTATATATCGCCAGCTTTATCAGGTAATGGTTGTGGAAGTTGTGTACTTTTTTTTTCTATTTCTATCCTGCTTTTCCATCAAAGAAAAAGGTGCTCAGGGTGTCCGCCAGAGATAACACAAAACACAACGCAAAACTGCAGTTTAGCAGCATTAGGGTTGTATCAGAGCGGGCTGCAGCTTTGTGCCATCAAAACCTGGGCCCAAAAGTGGGGAAGGGGAACTGGAACCCCCCGTTAGTGGCACAGGGGTTTCTATGGAGGGGAAGCAAGGGGAGCGAGCCTCCGCTTGTTCTTGCAGTCACCGTCTACCTGACCCTCCCTGACCGTTCTCCTTTTCCTCTTTCCAGGGGCCCCAATCCGAGCAAGCTGATCCAGCAGCTCTTAACGCTGCGGCCTGATCAGCAGCTGAACATCTTCAACACGCTGAAGGCTCACCTCGCCGATAAGGGGATGCTTCCCGGTTCTGAGGAGGCATAGCAGCTTGGCCGCCGGCTTGGACTGAATACGGGCGAGCCCCCCACCCGCCATAGGACCCCTGCCCCCCACCTTGCCTGGTCTAGCACAATAACCAAGCCTCGCCTCTCTCGCTTTCTCCTTTCTTCCATATCAAAAGGGTTGCGTCGGTGGCTTTTGGGAGGACAATTGCTGTCTGCTTCCAAGCAAACGAGAGAGGGGGATTAGCTTGGAAGAAATTGGGGCGCAGAGGGACAAACCTGGCCGAGTGTGTTGGAAAGCCACCTTCCCCTTCAGAGCTGCGTTTGGGCTTCTCTTCTCCTGGGGGTGGGGCGGGGGGCTCGTTTGTTTTTTTTCCCTGGGTGAGGTGGGCAGAGAGATGGGAAAAAGGAAGCAGGCAGCAGGGGGGAAATCATTCTCTAGCACAGAAAATGAAAGGGGTCTGGTTGGGTGTTGAAGTTCCTTCATGAATTTCATGGGGTGGCAAACACGGTTGTGGCATTTGACCAAACTGTCCAGCGCCAAGACTGCTGTCCAGCTTGTAGACGGGATAAGCGGGAAGCCTCCCTCGTTTGCCTCCCCAGGAACTGCCTGGCCGTTCTTTTTGCCAGGCAGCAGTCTGCAACCTTGATGGGTGGGAACGCGTGCCCGTTGGCCCTTTCCCCCCAAGAAAATTGTTGGGTGGGGTTCATTCTGCATGGGCCAGCTCGGAGAGTGGGAATACTGAAAAGCTGCACGGTTGCAGAACCTCCCAAACTAGTTTGTTGCAGAAGAAGTTTCTTTTCCCTTTAAATAGATAGTCTTAACACTGTTTTATTGTCAGAGGGGTGGGCTTGCTCCCTATTCCAGTTCACTCACGCAAGCATATTGCGTGTCATTTGGGGGTTTTGTGGTATTGCCAATTCTTCCTAACAGAAATGCAGCTAGCAAAGAGGGGCAGATTCAAATTGTGAATTGTGGAATTTTCCTCCCCAAAGTCTGAAAAGTTGACAGAACTTTTCATTCCAATTGAAGGGGGATTTATTGGAGTTTTACTTTACTGAAACTGCAAAGAGATTGCAGCCAGGAAATACCCCAAGAAGGCTGTTGAAAGAGATTTTTTTTTTTAAAGTATTGCATAAATCTTACTCAATTTAAAAATAAATTTTAAAAAGAATTCCATTTTGGCAAGAAAGAAGGTACAAAGTACAGAAACAGGTGACTCCTGAAGCAGAAAACTCAGCCTCCTGAAAACTGAAAAGCAAGTTTGCCCAACTTGATGCTTCTAGAAAAGTTGGACTGCAACTTCCATACTCCCCAGGTAGTAGGACTACCAGTCATGCTAGTTAAGGGTAACAGAAATTGTAATTCAGCCCATCCAGGTTGGATGAGGCTGCTTTTAAGAGCAGAGACAGACCCAGCCACGGCATCCTGTGCAGCGTTGGCTTCGGTCTTCGTTGTTAAAGAAGTTCTTTATCTGCTGTTTTGTCTGATAGCAGACTCTTCACGGCCTGCTGATGGTTGCACTGAGTCCCAGAACCTGCATTTGGGCTGTACCATTTCAGACTGCAGATAGGAGCGCTCACATGACTGAATGCTATTCTGCAGAAAAATCTGCACAGAGAAGAACAGCCTGACCGTAACATGCTTGTTTTTTCAAGCACTGGAATATGCATGAATATCTCGTAACGGAGCATTCAGTCGGGTTAGCTTCCTCTCTGGCCTGAATTGGCAATTTTTTTGGTCCAGGTGTATCTTAGAAGTTTGCTGGATTTGAAGTTGTGCTTCTGGAACAGCACCATTGCTTCCCACTGATCTAGTCTTCTCCAAACTTGGTGCCCTACAGATGTGTGGACTTCTAGAAGCTCCGAGAATTCTTATCATTGGATGGATGGATGGATGGATGGATGGATGGATGGATGGATGGATGGATGGATGGAGATGGCCAGTCTTGGCCACCAGTGCAACTGTTTCAGGAGTTCAAGCCTATCTGGAAATAAGTTTGTAAAAGGCAGTCCCTTTTGAACGTGCTTTTTGGGAGAAGGGGAGGGAAGGGCTCTTGTCCTAACAACATGGAAATGTCTAAGCTTGAAAGTTGTGAGTATCACAGCAGCCTGATCCATTCTGATACCCTCTTGATGTATAGTAACTTCAACTCTCAGAATCCCTCAGCCAGCATAGCCAGAGATTGCTGGAGAGTTCTGGAAAGCATTGCCCTAGTCTATATGGAGGATACAATCTGGAGAAAATTGCATTATGCTCAGGACTTCTAACAGAACTGGACCAGCTGAGGTTATTCGCCTGTCCTGTTTGCTCTTGGTAATCTGGAGCTTTTAAGACAGTTGACGGCGTCAAGAAACACACTTTTCGAGCTGCATCGCTTGAGATTGCAGAGGTGCCGAGTGGGTTCTGGGCTTGGACACCTCCAGGAGAGAGGCAGGGTGGGTGGGAAGAGGGTCGGCTGGAGTCTCACCTGGCTCCTGTCCCTGCTCTCCCCCCGTACATCTGCTGGCTTCCTTCCCAGCGCCCGTTCATGAATGACAAACTATGCCAGAGAAGACGGAGGCCCGCTGGGCTTCAGGATGCATGAAGAGCCAGATACATCACTGCTTGGAGGGAAGGGAGGCAGAATCACTCTGGGTGACACCAAACCCCTTGCTGTCCGGAAAATCAGCACACACATTAGTTTACGTCTCAAAGGAAGTTCACTTAAATGGGTGTCTGCAGGAGCAACAAGGTAGGTTTGGCTTCTGTCCTGTTGCTCCTGTAGACACCAATCCAGTGTTTCTCAACCTTGGCAGCTTCAAGCTGGTGGACTTCAGCTCCCAG